TCAGAGTGGAAGCTGCACACTCTTGTCCCAGGAAGTTCACTGGGGAACCCAAGTTAGCTCATGCCTCTTGGGACTGAAGGGATGTCTGAGGTTGGGCAGCTCCTTGACTACACACCCCAAATGGTGTTGAGCCCTGCTCGGCCACCTCCAGGGATAGGACCTCACTCACTCCTGTGACCTCCCTGTTCCTTCTCGGAGCAGCTCTGACTTGCAAAATTCTTCCTTATATGGAGCTGAAAACTGCCTCCCAATGCCCCACAGAGCCGCCTCCTCAGCCCGGGGCGGCCTGCAGAGATTCCAGAGAAGTGCCCAGTTCCCCCTTCAGCCCCCCTCCAACCCTCACCACCTCCGGCCGCCAGCCCCACTGGCTGGCCGTGGTTTAGGGACATCTTACCCTCTCTCCGCGGGACCATTTTTGGAATGTGTACTCCCCATTACCTTATTTTCCATCCAGGAAATTCAACTGTCCCCTGAGCCCACTCAAGGCCAAGAGAACGAGGGCATCCCGTGGAACAAAACCTTAAGGAGGTCAAGATGGTCATGCCCCTGTCTCAGGGCCTGCAGTCCACTTCTCTGCTTTGCCCCCTGGGATTCACCGGGCCTTCCCTGGGGACTCAGTCCTCACTGCCCAGGCCTGGGATGAGGGTGGCCTCCTCTGGGGGAAGGAGTGTTTCTGCCTCAGGCTGAGTCATCACCTTCCTGCCCCCCAGAGATACCACAGGGAGGTGCAAAGGGGGAAGAGAAAGGCCAGGAGTCAGCAGGCGGCAGGGAGGTCGGTCGCGAAGAGGAAAGGATGAGGCAGGGAAGCGTGAAGGGGACAGGAAGGCGGCTGGAAAGGCTGGGATTCTGGGAGTCAGATCTGAGGCGTGGGACCTAGGGGCAAACTGGAGATAGACAGGAGGGTCCTCAGGGTACCCAGTGGGGATCGTTGAGGTCTCTACCTTCCTAAGGCAGAGAACATCCACCTGGCCAGAACCAGCAGGCCTAGTAGGGCGGGTAGCAATGACTTTGATGCTTCCTGTCCACCTTGGTTGCCAAGGGGAGGTTGGGGGTAGGCAAAGGGCCTGGGCTTGTTTTGAGGAATGAATGAGATGACACATATTGAACGCGTAGGCCAGCACCCTGCTCACAGGAAGTGCTGGAGAAGCACTCACTGCTATCACCAATATTACAGAATCTGGCCTGAGGTGGCCCATCCCAGCCTCTCCCCGCAGAGGAGAGGCCCCTCTGGGTAGAAGCTCCTGGGAGCTACACGCGAGCCCTTTCCAGGATGGCAGCGGCCCAGACCTGGGTGGTATACTGGTAAAGCTGGGGTTCATTTGCCAGGAAGAGATGTAGGGATGCCTGAGGCAGGTGGGAGAGAGCCGCTCCCTCCTCCAGGTACAGAGTCTGGGATCCAGAGATCTGAGATTCCATCCAGACAACTTCTTCTTCCTCCGACTCCCCTCTCTCTCGCCAATATCCCCTGTCTGGCTGGGGGCGGTGGTGGGGAGGGGGCTGACTCAGGCCCAGCTGCAGGAGACAGAGGAAGGAGAAGTGGTGAGGAGACAAAGAGGCCTTGGCCGCAGAGTCTCCTGGGGATAGAAGTGGCCAGGGAGCTGGTGAGGTGGGGGCGGGGTGGTGGCATGGGGGTGGTGTCCAAGAATCCCCTCCTGGCTCCGTCTCCGTCATTGGGGCTGGGGAGGCACCACACACAAGGTTTGCATCTTCCGAGACTCAGGAAGTTCCTCCTCTGTCCCATGTAAGACTCTCCTCTTAAGGTACAACACGGGTGTCCTTACGTTTACCTGTAGTGTTCCCCACAGTCAGAACCTGGAAGCTCTTCCTTATCCCTAAGTGAAGTCTGTTCTCCGGAACTGTACCATCTGGAAGTTCTTCCCTGTGGCTCTCTGGAGCCTTGTCTCTTAACCCAGCAAGACTTGCAGCCACAGACCACCCTCCTCCTCCCCGACGCCTACTCACACAATCTGTAGCACCTTCCCCGCCCCTCCTGGGTGCCCATGAAAGAGCCCAGCTGCCAAGCACAGCCCAGCTGGTCCCTGTCCCCAAGGGGGCTGACAGGAAAGAGTCGGATTGCTGACCCAAGGCCTCAGTGTCCTCCACTGCCCAAGTCCAGCTTCCACTTTCTACCTAAACTCTGTCTTCCATCAGCACTTCTCATGGGCAGCCCCTGGCATGATGCCCCTGAGCAGCTGCCACCCTGGGCAGGAAAGAGCGAGGCAGCTGCTCCTCCTTCCCAGAAACAGCTCTGTTCCAGCTGGTGGTCCGAAACAGCACGTAAAGCCTGGGAAGGAACTCAGGTCCCCAGACACTCCCTGCCTTGTGGGCAGAAAGGGCCTCTCACTTGTCACAGCCCTCAAGACCTTCCTGACTCTGGAACCTCCCCTGCTCCCCACAAGCCACCTGGATGAGCACCTCCCAGTCACTCAGACTTGCCAAAACCTTTCTCGCCTTCAGGCCTCTGCATGTCTGTTCACTGAGACTGCTAAGTGCTCCCTTTCGGAGTCACATGGCTGGCTCCTCTCACCTCCTCAGGGGCCTCCCCTGACTTATCTTCAGTTGTATCCATCATTCTCTATCCCATGCTTTATTTTCTTTACAGCACTGTTTTGAGGTGAATGCCTGTTTTAGTCGCTAGAATGCAAACTCCATGAGCCAGGGACTTTGTCTTATTCAACTCTGAATGAGTGATGCCTGTCACAAATAGGTGCTCAGTGAACTATTTGGAAGGGAATATTATTTAGACTTAAAAAGGAAAAAAATCCTGTCCCATCCAATGACATGGATGAACCTTAAAGACATTGTGCTAAGTGAAATGAGCCAATCACAAAAGGACAAATACTGCATGATTCCTCTTATATGAGGCACTTAGAATAGTCAGATTCATGAGCTAAGTGGAATGGTGGTGGCCAGGGGCTGCGGGGAGGAGGCGATGGGGAGTTGTTTATGAGTGTGGCGTTTCAGTTTTGCAAGATGAAAAGTGTTCTGGACATCGGGTGCACAAGAATGTAAATGTACTTAACACTACTGAACTGTATACTCACAATGGTTGAGATGGTAACTTTTATGTTATGTGTAGCTTACCATAATTAAAAATAAAAACAATATTTGGATGGGAGGATAGATGGATGGATGGACAGATCTCAAGTTCCACCCTCCCTCCTGGCCGATGCATGACCAAATTATCAGTTCTACCAAGGCCCTCAGAGGTGATCCTGTCCAAGTCTTTGAATACACAGGTAGGGAGACTGAGGCTTGTGGAAAGGAAGGTTGCACGGCGAGGCCGAGCCAGGAAGGGATTGAGCTCTCAGTGCCATGGGCATAGGAGACTCGGCCCCTCTCACCAGGTCTCAGGCCACGCTCTGCCTCCTCTTGCCGAGAGCCTTGCAACTGTCCACTCCCCCTGCCCTTGGGAGTCGGGATTGAGATCCAAGACCCACCAGCCAGGCCCAGCTGACCCGTGCTTCTTCCCTGTCCCTCTGCAGAAGCCCAAGTACCAGGTGCGCTGGAAGATCATTGAGAGCTATGAGGGCAACAACTACACTTTCATTGATCCCACTCAGCTGCCCTACAATGAGAAGTGGGAGTTCCCCCGAAACAACCTGCAATTTGGTGAGATGAGATCTCAGCCCACCAGGCCCTCGAATCACAAGGCAGCATGGGCTTCGGGGCACCTGTGGGCCCCTAGAGAGAGGGCCCATTGGTGCCCAGGGACCTAAGGAGTCTGTATGTGTGGCAGGTAAGACCCTTGGAGCTGGTGCCTTTGGGAAGGTAGTAGAGGCCACAGCCTTTGGTCTGGGCAAGGAGGATGCGGTCCTGAAGGTGGCTGTGAAGATGCTGGGAAAGAGAGGGGGGGAGGCGGTGCGTGCTGGGGGAGGGCCTCCCTTGCCACCATAAGAGGCATTACCCACATTTTCGACCTGCCAGAGCCTGGGGGACAGAGCCTGGGATTGGCGGTGAGGACTCCTGGATTTCTTTGTGAGATCCAGGCTCCCTCTAACTCCTGGGTGTGGAGGGGCTTCTGACTGAGTCCCAAAGAGGCTGGGGTGCACAGAGGCCACCCTGGGCCATGGCCTGGCTACAGGTTGGCTTTCTGCCACCCGAGACCTGCTCAGTGACTGGCCATCTCTCCCCTCTCTTTAACTCCCCTCTGTGTGTGTCCGCATTTCTCCTTCACCCTCTTTTGGCCACTTATGGCTTTGGGGGTCTGGATACCCCTGGCCTGCTTACCTGGGTGTGTCCTTTCTGTGTGGCTCTCCATGTCCCGTCCTCTCCCCGTATGTGGAACCTGTGACCCCATCTCCCAGCCACGGCTCACACCGATGAGAAGGAGGCCCTCATGTCAGAACTGAAGATCATGAGTCACCTGGGCCAGCACGAGAATATAGTCAACCTTCTGGGAGCCTGCACTCACGGAGGTGAGGGGCCCTGGCGGGCACGGGGGCCCATGGCCTTGGGCTTCTCAGGTATCTGAGGGCCCCAGGGACACCTAACTCCGTCTTCCTCTTCCATCTCCTCCAAGGAAAGGAAGGATCTCTGTCTCAGCTCTCTTAAATTCCTGGGCCAGATGCTTGAACAGGTCAAGCTGCCTGTGGATGGCAGATGGTTCTGGGAGCCCTGGGCAGTGGCTCTCAGACAAAAGCGGGCCTCTGGAGAGGGAGCTAAGAGGGCAAACCCTGGGCCCTGCTCCAGCCAGTAGGGAGACTGAGGCTTGTGGAAAGGAAGGTTGCACAGCGAGGCCGAGCCAGGAAGGGATTGGGCTCTCAGTGCCATGGGCATAGGAGACTCGGCCTCTCTACCAGGTCTCAGGCCACGCTCCGCCTCCTCTTGCCGAGAGACTTGCGACTGTCCACTCCCCCTGCCCTTGGGAGTCGGGATTGAGATCCAAGACCCACCAGCCAGGCCCAGCTGACCCGTGCTTCTTCCCTGTCCCTCTGCAGAAGCCCAAGTACCAGGTGCGCTGGAAGATCATTGAGAGCTATGAGGGCAACAACTACACTTTCATTGATCCCACTCAGCTGCCCTACAATGAGAAGTGGGAGTTCCCCCGAAACAACCTGCAATTTGGTGAGATGAGATCTCAGCCCACCAGG